TCGAACAAATTACCGCGAGTTGTGCAATACATGCGCATCCAACGCTTCGTCCGCTGCACCGACTGCAAAATGTATAACACCGTGTAACATTGAAACATTCGATTTAGTCGAATTCAAATTGAAAAGTTAAATTGTACGACATCGATTGTTATTCCAAAAACGATCTTACGTATTCTGGATCCGAATAAGAGAATTTAGGAAGACGCGACAGAGCAGTCAGTAAAAATTCGTTCGCGAGCCTGAGCGAACAATCGCCGAAGATTTTCCACGACGAAAATTTCCCAAATCAGCATGATTCGATGACTCCCGGACACGCGACGCGACTCATGTTTGCAGTCGCATGAAAATTTCATGACCGCTCGACAGTCGCCGCGTCACGGTTTTTTTTTCTTTCGCTTGGCGATGTATAATACATTTAAACAAATGCATAAAACACGAGCCGATGCCTCGAGTTATTCGGAAACGGCTGGAAATCTCTCTACTCGGAATAGTTTTAATCCTGCTCGCGAATCAATTTCTGCGAAGTTCAGTAGAAACGGTTCGCCAAGAAAAAGTTTGCACTCAGCTGGCGGAGTTATCTCGGATAGCAGTCCGCGCAAAAATGAGGAGAGGCGCCGGTTATCGAAGTTCGGGGAACCCGCGGATTCAGACATGCTCGCGCGGGCACGGTCGCCGGATCCGCGCGAAATAGTATCCGGATTCTGGCGACTCGTGTATGAAATATCCCGGTCCCGCAACGCCGAAAACACTTGGTCAATCGGCCGAGCGAAATGGGTTAAACGCGCCACGGTAAATAGCCGCGATTGATTTCGCATTGTAATGGTGGAAACGAGGAGAGCTCGCGGGTCTGCTCGCCGGTCGGAATGGTCGAAAATACGGCGTCCTGCTGCGATTAATCAGAATGAAACATCGACTCCCGGTGGTGGTCCAAGAAAAATGGAGGAAGTCGCACTTTATTCGCAAATATCGGCGATCGGTAGCCAAAGTGGACATTCGAAAAATTGTCGACGTTTGATCTGTTATAATTTCGGGAGAAATGATCGTACCGGGATGAAACGGGGCTCGTTTTGAAGCTCGAAGTCTGTACTTTCGCACCCCATGCGTCGTTATTTTTTTACATTTTTTGTTGTTGTAACTTAACAGATGGGAAACTGAAGGCACGCTTTCCTTGGAAAAATTAGAGATTAAAGTAAAGAAGCAATTACACGATTACGTCGAGCCTGTAGAAGTATGAGCAATTTTTTCAGTCATTTTATCAAGCTTTGAATTCAAGCTGTGATTCTGAAGCAAAGAAGCTTGCTTTTCGTTTCACAAAAGTGCCAGGAAAAATCGTGCAGCGAGCTTTGAAAAGTCGTTGTAGAAGCGAAGCCACGATAATCAAATCCATGTTGAATTGAATTGTGGAAAAAAATAGTTGTTGGACGCAGTGACGTTTCCATTTGCAGCGATTTATAAAGCACAAGCCGGGCAAGGTGGAAATTGTTTCGAATTATGATGTAATAATTTTTAATAACGCCACAGAATGCGAAGGGCTATTAATGCGACGCGCCCACTGTTGGAACATGGAGAAACGTATTGTCACAAAGAACTTATGAATTCCCCGAATGTCACGCGTTCAGATTGCATCACGCGATTTTAAATTTAACGACACGCGCGAAAATTAATTTGATTTTCTTTATGGGAGATACAAAATCGTGACACACGTGTGACGCTGGCAACGAGCGAGAATTAATTCATCTTTTTCCTTATTCGTCCGCCAAACGAATCGAAGCGTTACGTTGATTCGATACCCCGCTGATAATTAATGTTAATTAATCGGCTGTTGAGGATTCAAGCGCTTCAAGACGGTACTTATCGTTGAACATGTTTGAAGACGATTCCGAGAGGCTGAATTTTACAACGAATTTCAGATGTTTGTAGAACAATGCGATAATCGGCCAGCTGTTCGATAAAATTCCTGACTCAGAACGATTTCTAGGAATTAGAAATTGCATTATCAAATAGGCGGAGACGAACATTCCGCAGTGTGTGGACTTAGCGCAGGTGATGCAGTGATCGCAGCAATAAATGGATTGCAGGATTTATGCGTTTATGGCGCAGGCAAATGTTGGGGATCTAGCGGTTCGAACATATGCGGTAGGTGCGGTAATGTCTTTATCGCATTGTCGTCTTAATGAACTGCTGTATAAGTCAACAAATTAGTCTCCGAGAACCATAACAACATTTTTATTGAACGGGAAACACAAGTCGCAACATTGAACGCGAACGAAAGGAACATTCGAAAGGTTAAGGAGCACCGATAAGTACGCTGACAAGGAAAACGATTATAATTCTGTAGTGCGTTACTATTGTGATTGGTTATTGAGGCATTATCTACCGCTGGGCGTTTAATATTGCTACCAAAAAAGTCTCCGAAAAATATGTTAAGAATTTGTTTACACTTTTCTTTCCATTTATTTTCCGATTTTTGCTTAAATGTTTGGAACCATATACAGTAAATTCTCTCTAATTGACGCTTAGATTGTACACAAAAACGGACAATCTGAGCGTCAATTAAGCAGAATTAAAAGAAAAATTATTGTATTTACACATTCACTTTACTTTTCTTTCTATCTAAAGTTGTGTAAAGAAATTTAAACAGTTTGTAAATTTTGTCCACAATCATTTCAATTATGTTAAGGAAGTAACTCGAAGCTTATTTTTGGTTCGATAGAGAAGCTGGTCAACGCAATAGGCGCGGCGAGTAAAGATTAACCAGCGATCGATCGCGAATTTATGCGAGCCTCGCGAACGCGGGCTGTTAATCGCAAGGCCCCATTTTTCGGGTCGTTGCACGCGCAAGCACATAGATCGAACGCGATCGAAACGGAGAATTTTGCGAGCGGCTGAGACAATCGGCCCCGACTTCCTTGAATTTTAGAAACAGCCCGGCGGAAACAATGCTCGGTTCGCGGGGTCGGCAGAATTCGTCTTGAAAAATTCGAGCCGGCATCGCGGAAAGTTTGATCAGCCATTGTTTGACTAGGCCAAGAGCTATCGAAGTCGTCTCTTTTCGAGGAAGCTACTCTTGTTTTGGCTCAGCCCTTCTTGGCCCTTTTCACTTGCCCCAGAAAAGATCGATCGCTCAATTGTCTGCTTGTTTCGAGCGTGGCGTTATTTTGCTGGTTCAAAAACACGCTCGTGTATTGATAATGGCTGTTAACAATGGCCGGCAAGAGCCTTGAAAGATGGCCGTCAACAGTGGCCGGCAAGAGCCTTGAAAGATGGCCGCCAACAGTGGCCGGCAAGAGCCTACTCTACACCCGATCTCTGCCAGGGAGATTCGTCTAGTTTCGCTTCAAGTTCGGTTTCGCTTCTTTTTTGCTTCTGATGAAGTTCTCGTGGCTCATGTTCCACGTCGACTTCCAATCCCTACCCCTTGGCGTTTTCAGCACGATAGGAACTCCCACCAGCCAATACGGATTTTGATGCAAATACCGCCCATTAGGTTGTTAAAAAATGGAATATTCAGGGTCTCGGGTTTTTGTCAGTTCCGTTGGTCCGTCCTGGGGGCCTAATCTGCACCAAGAAATTTACGATGGCCAGGAGAACCTCGGACTTTCCCGAGGGACGGATTAGGAATTTCTTCCTGTTTATGATGTCAAATGCGAAAATAATCATAATTACCTAGAAGGACTTTTTGTACTGAAAAAATAGCTGCGAAGCCATATCCGCATCATAAATTCCATCGCCTTAGAATTCTAAACAATGCTTCGCGTCACCAAATCCCAATTTCCGAGTAAAAATAATACCACGGTGCTCGGGAATCTCGATAGGGTTTGAAATTAACGCGAAGCAAAATCGGGATAGAAGAAACCATAAAATTCAATAAAACAACAGTAAAATCTACAAGATACAAAAGACTGACGAAGGTAATTGCTGCAATATATTTATGTTGTCTGTGGACCTTTCTGCAAAATGAAAATGATCTTTATTAATCGCAAGAGCCGGGGGATGAATAGAAACTGAATAATTACACACGACATAGTAAAAAACTAAATTAATTACTTTCAACAATCCACGATCTTTTAGCAGGAAACACCAAGCTTTCGTGTCTCATTACTACGTCTTTCACTTCCTCTATACTGATCCTTTGAATATAATTCTCAGCTTGGCTAATACTTGTACAAACGACATTGGCTTCTCTATGCATGACCCGAATAAATTAAAAAATCAACTATATCATTATTACCATTACTAGACGCTGCAGTTTCGTAGAAGTATGAAAATAGTAGCCGACCCGTTCATGCCAAATAAATGAGAATGAGATTAACAATTCCCGTAAATGGACTATCGCAAAAACAACAATATTCACATTCATCTGTCATCCCTGCCGCCTTACGTCTCGCCCATCCCGATTTCACTATAAAAGCATAATCCCGGGCGCCCGCAAAACCCATAAAACCTCTGTTCTGCGGCGCAGAATTGAAAAGCCCGAAAATCCGAGCAGACCGCAGCCGCGACTGAAAGCGCGAACAGAAATTCGCGCCGGGATCGCCACTAAATCGTCTCGAAAAATTCGATACTCGTCGGATCATAAAACACTCGGCTGGTGAACACACGAGCACGCGTTGTTCACGGCGCGGCCTAATGCTTCGGTCGTCTAATACCCTCGTAACGGAAGCTTGTCATCGTCAACGACGACGACGGGAACGATCGTCTTCATGGGACGGGACGCAATTGCGACATCGCGTATTGGGCGGGACTCGGGAAAGAGCATGTGCGATCCGTCATGCAAATACCGTTCGCGCGGTGCCGTTCGATAAACAATAGCGACAGAGAGACAGATAAGAAAAAAGCTCGACGGCACCGGCTCCTGTCTTCCCGGCTGTCTAGTCCCTTCCACGGCAACCCCTGCCCCCCACCGCCGTTTTCCGGATGATAGTCCGCGTGCTGTCTCTGTCTCTCGGCTTTGTCGGCTCGCGCTGTCTCTCTCCGGGTGTCGGGCATAATAACGTGAAGTGGTTAACGGTCGGCGTTAGTCAGTACGTGCCGTCGCACCGATCGCGTCGCATTGATCCTATCGGGGCTGTCAGAGGCAGCGTAGATCGCGTTACTCGCAATTCTCGAATTCGACACGACGAGAGAGACGCGAGAGAGAGAGAGAGAGAGAGAGAGAGACAGACGCGCGTCGAAGAAATTTTCGACGAGGTGCTCGGCTTCGCTCGGTTGGTAGATCGGTTAGGGGTCCTGGTCGCACCCTCGGGACCACCTGGAGGAGAGCTAGTTTCGAAACTGTCCCGGGCTAGATTCAAACACGAAGCCGCTAACGGCGATCCAGACTGCCGCAGCTAACATCGACGCACTCGGTTTTCTCGGTACCACGAAGAACTCGAGGGGAAGGGTTGACACCGGCCAGCAGGACACTCCAGGATGACGATCAACCCGTCGTCCATGGTGATCGACTACCTGGTCTTCGTCGGGTGCATCGTCGCCTCGTTCGTGATCCCGCTGTGGGAGAAGTTCCGGGGCCGGCGGAAGGAGACCACCAAGGCCGACTATGTGTTCGCCACGGGGACCGTGTCCATGGGCGCCATGATGCTCTCGATCGCTAGGGGCACCCTGGGAGTCAGGTCGTTCCTAGGGTATCCATCCGAGCTGTATTACAGGGGCAGCGCGATGTGGGAGACCGTCTACGGCATGCTGCTCGCGTACCCCATCGTCTGCTTCATCTTCGTTCCTGTTTACTACAGCCTCGGCATCACGTCCGTCTACCAGTACCTGGATATGAGGTAATTGTCTCCTCCGTTGACCCAATTCGCGTGTGATAGAACTAGTTGGAAGATCTGATACGCCAAGCCGGTTTGCATGAGAATAGCGACTACGGAGTTTTGGGGATTGATTGCCAAAGGCGCAACCCGTTGTTCTGTTTTCGAGATGGATTACGCGAGCGGATGACTTTGTTCACGATTTCGTTGCTCGTTCGCGTGGAAATTCTTGCGGATTTTTTTTAGGTAACTTTGTGAAATGTAAGAGAAAATGAATTCTCGGAGTTCTTTCATTTTATTTTTGGAGTTTTCTTTTTTTAAATAAGAGACGATCTGTACGGAATTTTTATTCTCGTTTTAATGGGGTCTCGAGTGGTTTAAATTTTCTTCTTTTCAAAATGTATGCTTGTTATAAATTGTTCAAGGTATTCAAGGTTAATTGGACCAAGTGATAAGAAGGGGTGAAACTGGATTTTATTTTTATTTCGAATCCTTTATGGGCGAGGATTATTTTCAATATCAAAAATCCCTTACATCGTCAGTCTGACTGCTCTTTCTTAAAGTAAATAATTATCTTGTTCACAATGTTGAGAGATATATTCGTTCTATTGAAAGATTCAACTCTTGATAAGAGTTCGCTACATTTCTATTTTTGTATGGACAATGATAACGCGGAATAAGCTTGAATATAAATAGCTGGCAAGATCGTTCCGTTAACGCTGTAAATCACGATCGCTTCGTCATCTTAGTCGCTTAAGAACCGTGAAATAAAAAATTGAAGTGTCGGGCACGAAGAATTAGTAAACAAGAGAATCTAACGGCTTTTGGTCCAGCATCTCCGGCAACGGCGAAGTTTGTCCCGCGTGAAACAAAGCGATGAAAACAAAATTTGTCTAATAGGCTATTAAAATTCCGAGTCCCCCCAAAGAGCGAACACGCTTCGAAGACTGAAAGAAACATGTGCGCTTGATGAATTATCGAGTCAAGACGTCCGCGCGCGTGACTCATTTTGTGTTTCGTCGGATACGAAGTATGCGCGCCGCGGCAATTTCCGGAGACACTTATAGTAAAGCGACTATAAATAGTCAATTCGATTCATGCAAATTGCTTTCGGATCTCGAAGACAATTACGTCGAGGAAACGATTATCCGGAGCCGGCGAAGTACTCGAAAACGCGTTCGAAATTTCCCTCTGTCTTCTCCGGGGCTCGCGGCGGCGCCCGTAAAAAAAATTAGTTTTCGGCGGGGGAGGAGCGGGGATTTAATATTCTCCGTTGACGGAATAGCGAACGAAATCTCGGCTTTCATAAGAGATCCCCTCTCCCTCTGTTATTCTATCAAAATGACGAGGCGTGACGGATCACGGGGAAAATTTAAATTCGCCGCGCTCGCGGAGCCCGGCTCGCCGAAACCGAAGCTGCTTTACATTTTCTGTTTACCTCGGTACCCCGGCATAAATCGAGTCGAGCTTCGAAAAAACCTCGTGCTACCTCCCGCCGCCCCTCGCCCCGCACTGACGAAAGAGGAACCAAGAAAACACGTGCACGAAAGAAACTCCGGTTCGGACTTTGATTTCGCGCGCGGGCCTTGAGACCGTCTTTAAGCTTAACGATTGTGTCCGGCCGAGGCCGGCGAACAAGAACTCTTCTAATTATGCTAATTCGTTCCAGGTTCAAGTCGAAGCTAGTCAGATGCATCGCCAGTTTCTCCTACGTGATACGGAGCCTGCTGAACTTGGCCGTCACGATATTCACGCCATGTGTCGCGCTGAAAGCCGTCATCGGGCTGCCGTATTGGGCCAGCATCATCGGCATCACCTCCATATCGGTCATCTTCAGCGTCATGGTGTGTATACAATGTCCGCGAGAAACGGCTTTTTTCCCCCCATTGTTCCGATCGTGTTTGCAATGTTAATCTCGGTTAAGGAGGGTCGCGGGATACGAGCTGGACAATTTCCTGGTCGACCGAGAAACGACTTTTATTAATTTTCTGCGCCGTGAAACTCGGATCGAAACGATACGAAAAGTTTCTACGAAGAATGGGGAACTGTTTTAGCTGGCGGCGTTCGTTTCATAATATGTTCCGTTGTTCGAAACGCTTCGCGAAAAGATTGCGGACAGATCGGGTCATGTTATCATTGCGGAACGGTTTTCGTTTTGAACTTCGTCTCGAAATCATTTTCGACTTAGAGACCTTACAAATTATTGTAAAATCTGCAGCGTGATAGCGAGATATGGTAATAAATACGAGCGACATCGTTGCGTTTAATTCTCGTTGTTAACAACGATTCCTCGTAACGGCGAAGTGGAGAATGGTCGAAATATAGTCTGTGATGGAAGACCGACCGTACTTCCAAATCGCGTTCACGGGGTCACATTTACGGTACATCAATTATTCAGAGAAATCGAGAGAGCACACGGGATGTTTGCCCGTTCGAGTCACATTTCTGACCGAAAGAATCGCAAATACGGGACGAGTTTCGGTAAACAGGGGGTCGGAAACAACACCTGAAAGCGTCGCGACACGCCGCACGCTTCATTGTGATCTGTACATTTGCAAACAATCGCGAATCTCCCTCTATATCCCGTTTTATTCTGCGGTCTTCATTTTTTCAATATTTCCCAAACCGTCGCACAGCGGTCTGCGAATGCGCTTCCCGTGGTTTAAATTATTTCAGCGTTGTTTCAAGATTTAAATTTATAGTATAGTAGATCATTGAATTAATCTCGGCACCAACTGAAATATTACGAAGTCGAATTATATATTAACATTAAAAGGATCGAAACAACTTCAATAATTTGTAACGATAATTTCGTTTCCGTTTGCATTTCAGCATTGTCTAAGGAACAATTAAACTATTTTATTGCACTCCAATTTTACAGTTCTGCACTCGAAATGCTTTATTCGCGCGAGAAATCATCCGAAAAATCTGATACTTCGAACTTCGAGGCTTGATCGTAATTTGAGAGAGAAAACACAATTTGGTAGAAATATACGAAAGTCTAAAAATCGAGTTTATCCCGTAAATGACCGGTTTCCGAGCCGCTGTGCGCGGCCTGTCTTTCATTAATAAATTATATCGAAATACGTAACGAAGAGATAACGTTCGGCCACACGTTGTGGTATCGAAGAACGGAACGCAAACAAAATGAATCGTTCGCGTGGATTACGAATGTTTTCGCGAATCTGTGACGCAAGTAGTGCTAATTGATAGCACCGCGACGTAAGTGTAATCGTACAATCGATCACTCTTTTCCAGGGAGGACTGAAAGCAGCCATTCTCTCGGACGTTATACAAGGCGTGACGATGATCGGTGTCTCTTTGGTGATAGTCGCAAGCGGCACCGCCGATATAGGAATCGATAAGGTCATGAACGTGACGTACGAGCGCGGCCGGCTCGACTTTTTCAAGTAAGTGTGCAAACAATCGGATCACGACGATCCCAAAAATTCTAATCCGATAACGACGGGATTGGATAACGGGGCTATCGATCGATCGAACGGCAGTGATTCATTTCGAATGATACTCGAATCAATGACCCTTTCACAATTGAACCGATAACCTATTCCTGGTTCATGTCCACTTCATTATTATCCGCTATCTGTTAAACCATAATGTTTCGAACCGAATCGACAATAATTTGATTCGATCGCCGACTCGCCGTCCATCGTGATTGCAAAATCAGGAAATTCCAGGAAGTTTCTAGGAAACAAACCATAAAAGCTTCGCGTAACTCGCGCAAACATCGGTCCATTAACATGCTTGTTGACTAGCTTGTTCAGAGAACGTTTAACCGAACTGTAAATATGTAAATGTAAATCTCGTATTGCAAACTCGGCGAATTGCTTTGTAACAATTATATTTGACACTTGTGTGACACGAATTCAAACTTGTTCTTTGAACAGATGAGTGAACAACGTTAATCAAAAGTACCTTTAGATTAGGGTAGGAAATAATTGATCTTCGACGCGTCGTTATTGTTGTACCGGTGCTCGGTTTCTGATCGAGAATATTTGTTTCCAGCATGGACTTGGACCCAACGGTGCGAGTGACCACGTTGTCGGCCACCTTAGGCCAGCTGTTCATGAGCCTGTCCATCTTCGGCTGCCAGCAGAACTTCGTGCAGAGGTACTGCAGCATGACCAGTCAGCGGAAGGTCGTCAAGTGAGTATTAACGCAATTTTTATCTATCGGCATCATCGAACAGGTTCTTCGGAGCCAAAGTCGAGGTCGCGCTGAACAATCATCTCATAATATAATTCCGTGGAAAACGATTCGCGTGTCCTTCGTCCTCGTATCATCAGACACAGAAATTACTGTCCTTGGCTATACGTGTCGATCCGTAAGATCGAACTTAACAATCAATTTACAATCGTGCCTTGATGTTTATTGATGTGAACGGGAAAAATCCTTTGTTACGTAGGGTACGGTAAAAAATAAAAATAATAAAAAATGAAAGAAATAAAAATAAATAGAAAGAAATAAAGGTGAAGTAATATAATAATATGGTACAACATGATATGTTTTTACGATACAATTTTCGTGCTGCGATAAGAGCGGAGCGTTTAAATAAAGCAGAGGTATTACTGAAACCTCAAGAGCGTCGCGAAAACGGTTTGAAGCGAGAAATAATCGGTTTAACCCCTTAATGCACAATTTAAAAAAAAAAACCGACCAAAAAAAATCAATTTTTTTATCTAAGAAAATACATATTTGGACCTTAATTTCAATAAATATGTAAAAAAATGCAAAAATTACTAAAAATTCAATAAAAATAGTGGATAAATAATTATAGTGAATATTGAATCGCATTGCAGATCGAATTTTGTACCCATCGTACTGTTTTTCAATTAATATAGGTAACATAACATAAGTTGCGACGCCGACCGTATATATACGGGTCTGCACATTTTGGCCGGTTTTGCACGCCCGTGTTAATACGTTTCTGCGCGTTAAGGGGTTAAGCAATTAAATTGGCCGTAAAGAGCGCGGCGAGATTCAAGTTATTATATATCGTCGCTCAATTACGACAAGAGTTCAATATAAAAATTTCGTTTCTAATGAATTTGATAGGTTGAAAATGGTGTGACAGTATTTTTTTTTGCTTTGNCAAGTAGTGCTAATTGATAGCACCGCGACGTAAGTGTAATCGTACAATCGATCACTCTTTTCCAGGGAGGACTGAAAGCAGCCATTCTCTCGGACGTTATACAAGGCGTGACGATGATCGGTGTCTCTTTGGTGATAGTCGCAAGCGGCACCGCCGATATAGGAATCGATAAGGTCATGAACGTGACGTACGAGCGCGGCCGGCTCGACTTTTTCAAGTAAGTGTGCAAACAATCGGATCACGACGATCCCAAAAATTCTAATCCGATAACGACGGGATTGGATAACGGGGCTATCGATCGATCGAACGGCAGTGATTCATTTCGAATGATACTCGAATCAATGACCCTTTCACAATTGAACCGATAACCTATTCCTGGTTCATGTCCACTTCATTATTATCCGCTATCTGTTAAACCATAATGTTTCGAACCGAATCGACAATAATTTGATTCGATCGCCGACTCGCCGTCCATCGTGATTGCAAAATCAGGAAATTCCAGGAAGTTTCTAGGAAACAAACCATAAAAGCTTCGCGTAACTCGCGCAAACATCGGTCCATTAACATGCTTGTTGACTAGCTTGTTCAGAGAACGTTTAACCGAACTGTAAATATGTAAATGTAAATCTCGTATTGCAAACTCGGCGAATTGCTTTGTAACAATTATATTTGACACTTGTGTGACACGAATTCAAACTTGTTCTTTGAACAGATGAGTGAACAACGTTAATCAAAAGTACCTTTAGATTAGGGTAGGAAATAATTGATCTTCGACGCGTCGTTATTGTTGTACCGGTGCTCGGTTTCTGATCGAGAATATTTGTTTCCAGCATGGACTTGGACCCAACGGTGCGAGTGACCACGTTGTCGGCCACCTTAGGCCAGCTGTTCATGAGCCTGTCCATCTTCGGCTGCCAGCAGAACTTCGTGCAGAGGTACTGCAGCATGACCAGTCAGCGGAAGGTCGTCAAGTGAGTATTAACGCAATTTTTATCTATCGGCATCATCGAACAGGTTCTTCGGAGCCAAAGTCGAGGTCGCGCTGAACAATCATCTCATAATATAATTCCGTGGAAAACGATTCGCGTGTCCTTCGTCCTCGTATCATCAGACACAGAAATTACTGTCCTTGGCTATACGTGTCGATCCGTAAGATCGAACTTAACAATCAATTTACAATCGTGCCTTGATGTTTATTGATGTGAACGGGAAAAATCCTTTGTTACGTAGGGTACGGTAAAAAATAAAAATAATAAAAAATGAAAGAAATAAAAATAAATAGAAAGAAATAAAGGTGAAGTAATATAATAATATGGTACAACATGATATGTTTTTACGATACAATTTTCGTGCTGCGATAAGAGCGGAGCGTTTAAATAAAGCAGAGGTATTACTGAAACCTCAAGAGCGTCGCGAAAACGGTTTGAAGCGAGAAATAATCGGTTTAACCCCTTAATGCACAATTTAAAAAAAAAAACCGACCAAAAAAAATCAATTTTTTTATCTAAGAAAATACATATTTGGACCTTAATTTCAATAAATATGTAAAAAAATGCAAAAATTACTAAAAATTCAATAAAAATAGTGGATAAATAATTATAGTGAATATTGAATCGCATTGCAGATCGAATTTTGTACCCATCGTACTGTTTTTCAATTAATATAGGTAACATAACATAAGTTGCGACGCCGACCGTATATATACGGGTCTGCACATTTTGGCCGGTTTTGCACGCCCGTGTTAATACGTTTCTGCGCGTTAAGGGGTTAAGCAATTAAATTGGCCGTAAAGAGCGCGGCGAGATTCAAGTTATTATATATCGTCGCTCAATTACGACAAGAGTTCAATATAAAAATTTCGTTTCTAATGAATTTGATAGGTTGAAAATGGTGTGACAGTATTTTTTTTTGCTTTGTAATCCGTATGTACAAGATCGCCATAAACAGGCAAGTCAACTGACGGTGTCAGCTCGCCACAAGGACACATTAAAAATCTTATTGCAAGCGTATGACGAGAGTCACATGGTCGTGAAACTTTGCTGGTAGATAAGCATATCACCTACGCATGCAAGTCGTAGGAACATCCACAGCATTTTCAATGTAAATTTGTCCCTCGTGCCTTTCGTACAATTGCAATATTTTCCAATGAAAAACCAGAGATCGGTCTTTCGACTTGTAGCAGTTTAATCACTCAGCTGTTACAATTTCGTTGAAAAGTGCGCGGCTGTTATAATAAAGAATTAAGTTGCAATAAAATGACTGTTGCATTTTGTAATTTTGATGCAACATTTATTCGCGTTTACTTAATTTCATCGTTTATCAGTTTCCTTAATTACTTTTTAACCAGTTAGCTTTTTGAACGAGCATACTCGTCATGAAGAAAATGGCAACGTTTCGCGTTATTGCCGGTATAGTCGTCGAGAACAGCAAACTGGTCGAAAAGAACAGTTAAGAAAATTGATAAATGAATCCGAGGAAGTTCCTAGCCATCATCAATTGCACGATTATCAAAACGATCACCCGTCACCGGGTTAATCCACGTAATCCCGGCGGAAAAATCGCGCTGAATTAACGGCAGGCCAAAATTCAGGCTGGAAACGGCGAGGTCAGCGTTGCCCTGAGATTTGCCGGCCAATCCGCAATTTGCACTGAAATTGCACGGTTTTCGGGCCGGCGGATACAGAAATATCCGGAAGCCCGGCACGGCTTCGGAGCACGCACGGGATTAGCATTTTACGCGTCTGATATGTAAACAAGTGTCGCGCTGATAAAGTCGGCGGTAACGGCGCCGCGCCCGTTCGCCTCTGGACCAAGAAAATCGCAGCCGCAGTTTATTCGCGGAAAAACCGCGGATTAGAGCGAACCCCGCGAAGCCCACTGGCCATGCCGGTTCTTACGACCGCCATTGTCCCCGTTTTTCGGCAGTAGTCGACCCACCCCCGAAGTAACGAGAATTGGCTGCGCGAATCCTAAGTGACCGTTTGCCACCGTCGGAACAGACTTTGGCGAGCTCACGCAAAACGCGTGTCGGTTGAAAAAGTTTTTGCCCGTTTGGCTCGCAGATATTTTGCCGGACCTTCCTGCGCCGAGTCCCTCCCTTCACGTTCTGTTTATTTGCTATTTAGATCCTCGCGTGAAAACGCGAGCAGCTTCGTTTTGCAGCAGAATCGTACTCGTTAAAGTTTTACACGTGTGCGCGAACACCGTTTCAAACGGAATAACTTTTATAAAATTGGTCGAAATGACTTGAATTTTTTCGGATACGTTAGACCGACCAGTTTCTCAGGGAATGAGTGTACACAGATTTTGTTAGATCGCAATTGATCGAAATAATGGAAAAATGAAACAATGATGTTCTATGAAAATGTGTAACGAAAATTTGATACATGCTTATATACATGCCGAGAATTTCATTGAAATCGGTTTTGTGAATAGATATGATAAAGAAAGAAATTTGAAGAAAGTTAGTCGGTTTGAGAAGGTGTTAATATTTTGCAGAAAGGTCTTCGATTGCATATAATCGTCGATCGCATACGATTTCGAGAAAAACGCGATGGAACAAATTTAAAGAAAATAGATGAGAACTGTAGAATATCTTGATGAAGCTAACTGTTGAGGATCGCGTGAGGAATAACGATACTTTCGTTTCATTATTTTTTTGTTTAGATCTTTATAACGTGTTCACTGCTTCGCGGGCAAACCGAGTTTAGGACAAGAGGTTGATGCGCCGTTGCAGCGATGAACGTTAATAAAATGCGCGCGAGGTATTGTACGCTTTATGAGCGCAGTAAACGCGGCGAACTCGGTGCAGAGTCTGCGCTGGCAATATAGTAGTCACGTGCACCGGATACGACGGGAACGAAATCATCGAAAGTCTTTTGGAAACAATGAAAATTGCGTTCCTAATTGAAGTTTAATTTTACAATATTTGCGCGAGCTTCCGCGAATGTTTTTCAAAGAATTTGCCGGAATTTGTTCGTTACGTAAGCCGCGGTGCAGCTCGCGGAAGCGCGGTGAAGATAGGCCGTTAAAAATTTCAGAAAAAACATATTTG